GATGCTCCTGTGTCCATTGCTAAATGGCAGTTCTCAAAAGGCATTTTGACTCATTTCTGTCTCAAATGGCACAATTAAGGATTTTGCCATTTTCTGTGCAAAGAATTTTACCCAATTTGCTACATAAATGTAGCAAGTAATTAATGAGTTTTTATGCATGAAATAATATGTTTAACAATCACTCCAAATGAGGAACTCTCCAAATAACTTGTACTGACATGGTTCATTTCCAAAATCATTCTAATTTTCACCATCCAACCAGCCCAAAACTTCAAGCAGTCTAATTATGTGGATAATTGTACATCATGCTGCCTTGACTGGAATTAAATCGAGTGCTTAAACAAGGAGTCATAAAAATTAATTACTCGCAAACTCAGAAGTCAGGTTGCATTTATGACCATAAAAAGACAAAAAACCTTGCAACATAAATATAAAATGTCAGCCTTTCTATTTTATAATCACTGTTTTGTAGCACCTGCCGTTCTGGAACTTTTAATATAATTAAACTCCTGCAGAGACACTATAGTCTAAATTAACTGCTGGGAAAATTGGTTTTCCACTTCTCACACTTGTACAACAGTCATCAAACAAAATCAGTTTTCTGAACAGTATGATAGCATTGCAGTGTTTTATAGTCCTTTTCTTTTTTCGTGTTTGTTTTTTCCCCATATACTTAGATTTAAATCTGGGATAATTTAAAGACAAAGTCAGTCTACATTCCCCTCATGACTTTACAAAGCAGCGTGATTAGATAAGAGAACATTTTTATTCACTTCTTTTGATTTTCCTTCATCGAAAGAAACAATGTTTTGTAAGCAGGAGTTCAGACACTTGATTCAGCTCCAGTGCTATATGACTTTGGTTTATCCATAGATCATTAATAAGAGATGAATGGTTATTATTCTGCCTCCAAAAATGATTGTTTATTATTGTATGGCGTGATTCACCGAGACAGTGAAGAGATCCAAGTGACAGAGCTATTACAGAAAGGAAAGGGGGATTTTATTGGGGAACTGGTTTAACAGCTATGAGGGGGAAAATTAAAAAGCAAACCAAGATAGAATTTGAGGTTGAGGTAGTATAAAATCTAGAATATCAGTATATATGAGCTGAAAATCTAGTCTGAGGCCAGATGGGACAAAAGTAAATGCATTTTAAAGTATCGTTAACAGATTGTCAGAAAATTGGGCTTGTCAGCTGATTTTGCCCCACCCCCATGGATCCATTCCCTGTCTGTACAGTACCTTTAAGACTTTCACATAATGACATAATTTGCACCCCAAAGACTCTTAGACTCTCCCTGCCACAATGCAAGTACGAGTGCTGTTTGACACCATATAATTCAAAGGCCTTTTACATAACACGGAGTTACAGGCCCATTATGGTGACCTGTAGGTGCCACAATGACTCATCAGTAGTATCCTTCATCATGAACAGATGCTCACTATCAATAGCATCTTCATTTAATTATGGAGGTGGACGTAAACAATTACCCTGGTTTTCCCAAGTCCTATTACAAAAAAAGCTTGACCACATTGTTGTCTTGTTTGCCTCAAACATTCACCGGCAATGCTGTTGCAACACATGAGTAACTGAGTTGTACTTTATAGTTGACAGAAGCAGATCTTGTAAACACACTGCTCAGTTAGCAGCATAGCCCATTCCGACCTTACAACACAATGCAAAAATAGCTAAGAATGAGAGAAATGTCCTGAAACTACTGACAAAAAAGCTGTTTATACCTGCATGTCTGGATGACATTACCTTGCTTAACCTAAAATAAACAGGGCTCAGTAAGATATTTTTCAGAGAGTCTTATTAGAATCTAATTCTTAAATAAATAGCTTCTACCAAATTGAACAAAGGCAAGAGCGACTAGCCATAATTCATCTCACTCTTATTTTAAATGTAGATATATTCACATGATTGTTTAGTGTTGTTTATATTAAGCTACGCTCCCGTCTTGGGGTTGCTTTATGATCGGTGATTCAGGGGATAAGCTCCATAAATACACTAATTGGATAAGCAGTTATTGAAAATGGTTGAATGGATGGGCAGACGATTGCTTAAAGTAGACTGAAGCTCTGCTCCCCACAGCATGAGAAACCCACACTCTCCAGCTAAAGCATCCAGATCACTTAGTCATAGATCTGTTTAAGTCTGTAATGACGTTGCGTATGAATGGAGACATGGCATCTTCTGGAAGACTAGAGTATATGAGGTCGATGAAAGGTATGTAAAATCTCCTCATCAAGGTAAAGTAAGATACAGTTCAGTAGAATAAATGCTATACATGTACAGAATATACCTCTGGTAAAAAATAGCATGTAACTACAGTAAAAATTCTTGCAAATGGTATAGCAAAAATAATGTAATATTTTACCCTTGATTATTTTGGTTATGAGTATGGTTATTATATTAGAGGGAATATAACTGATCCCTTTATTCAGCAAACAAATGATCTGGGATATTTGATTACTGATGAATATGCGTTTTTTGTAATTATTAGATTGTGGGGACCTGATCTCCCCACAGTGTGATAAAAACCTGAAACTTTTTACTTTGTGGGGACATTTTTTGGGAATCTCAATTTCATAAAAATCTGTGAATGCAATCAAAAAACTAAAAATGTCAAAAGACTTGTATTTTGTTTGGTCACTTATGGTTAAGGTTAGGGCTGGGTAGGGGTAAAGATTGTCATTGTTAGTATTACGGTTTCTCCGATAGAAACGAATGGATGGTTCCCACAAAGATATGAACACAAACATGGGTGTGTGCACGCGCGTGTGTGTGTGAGTGCCGTGGGATAAGCTGGAGAACCATTTAGAATGCACTCTGCAAAATGATCCAAGCACTTTGATCCCCAGATCAATGTAGCAGTAACTGTGAATAATAATTGATAATGGAAGGAAATATGAATAAGAAACTCATTGTGAAACATGAGCGGTAAAATATATGGATGCCATAGTCATCTGTCACACATTTTTCCATTGACTATGTCCAGCACTAGGTTGAAGTTGCCTGAATACTCATAAACTTTTTTCTGCTGACTAAATCATTTCAATAATGACATTAAGACCATCAAAGGCTTCAAGTGTAAAGCATTTGGGAAAAAACAGTAATTGTAAATTACCACGGTTTTACAAGTATTACTCTCCTTTGTGGGTAATCCTGTCTGTTTTATCATAAATATTACACAGTATTATCGCAATCATAAGCTGTTATCTTGTAAACTATACCTGCATGCATTAATTCCAGCACACAAATATTCCCCTCATATCATGCAAATGACTTAAAAGCTCATGTTCAAAGTTCATTGACAAAATATCACGTGATGTTCAGAGGCACCTGCAGTTCACATTGCAATAAATGCAGTTAATGTCCTTTGTGTGGAAATCCAGATATGATCTTAAGTTCTCCCCATAATTGGGTTTTATTTGTGAATGTGAACGGTCCACAGGAACATTTCTATGCATCTGCCCATTAGGCGGCATCATTTATACAGTTCAGTGTGCAAAATGCAAGTAGGAAGCACTGGTGTACTTCTGCTTCCGCTGTGGGTTTTATGGGTGAAGCTTTTATTTTTATAGCTTTTTCTGAGATTAGTCTGCTCAAGATGTTATCAAAAGGAACTTAAAACTGAGCTTAAAATTTTAACATGGAAAATCACTCGTCTGTGATTAACATATTGACAAGAGTGACTGATAAAAATCAAAATCGTATAAAGTCCAGTGACTCACACTGATCATTTTTCATTGCTTAGTTGACAGAGAAGGGAAATACTTATCATTTATATTTCTGTATGTTTTGATCCATTTTTGTCATGTCATTTTTTCCTTAATTCAGGTGACTTGCAGATTATTCTTGACAAACGATAACAGCGGTGATTTCTAATTGCAATAATTCTACAACAAAGAAACAAAGTTATGACTTCAGCATTGCGTGGTTCCTTCTATTGACAATACATCGCTCATTACACTGAAGAAAGTCCAATATATCACTATCAGTGCTGTACTCCATTTGGTTTCAACGGCAGGGATAATGAGGAACACAATAATAATAAAAAACAGGATGTTATACAAGCAGTCCTCAGGTTGTGACCAAGTTCTGTTCCATAAGTCTGTCTTTAAGTTGGCTACTTACATATGGTACTGTACTGTCCCTCAAGCTGACAAAGCACGTAATGTTTTCATGTGCATCCCAAAGCAGTGTGTGCATTTGTTATTATGAACTATTGTATTTAATCTGAATTCTTAATATAATAGGCTTCATGACAGTCTGTTCATAAATATGAGTTGTCCGTCCGACGTTCTTAACCCCAGGACTTTCTGTTCTGGATAAGTTGCATTGAATGGATTCATAAACACAATGAATGGAACATATATACCATACAACAAGGAACGCAAAATAAAACCCCACTATCAAAGCACATGATAGTGTTAAATGGGACCTATTATTTTCATTCATTCATAATAAAAAAAATTTTGGTGCACTATAAGAAATGTACATGTTTCAATGTTCCAAAAAACACATTTTTCTCATACTGTACATTTATATTTACTCTATAACTCTGTCTGAAATGCCCTGTTAGAGCTTTAAGCCCCATGCCTGATGAGCCCAGTGTCAGCTTGCCCAGTTGATCAGTTAGCCCTATACGTTCTGCCCCTGTCTCTGAGTCTGCAGACAGATCCTTGCAGGTAGGCAGTCAATAAGGATTGCATTACGAGGTGACCTCACCATGTAACGGAAGTATGGACTGGAATTCCAACGAGGTGTTTCAGGCAGATTAGAGAAGAGTGGTTTCTGTGGTGAGAGTTACTCCCTTTGGCATTTACCTGAGGCCTTAAGACTTTGCAGACTGCTTCCATGTACATAAAGCTATATAATGCACTAAAAAAAGGGAAAAAACAGAAAAGCATAATAGGGCCCCTTTAAGTCTTTTGATTGAGTTTTAAATACTGTGAATGCTGTATGACTCTTCATAACACATAGATACTCACCGATGGTGGTGATGACAGTCCCAGCAAAGAAGAAGGAACTGCTGAGGTCCCAGAGGCTCATCTCATTGGACGAATTGCCTGACGGATTTACGCCAGTTCTCACCGCGGCCACCACCTGCTGTGGATTAAAGCACGCAGGATTTGGTCATCAAATGCATGCTATTGTATAGCAGGACCACAATAATTCTGGTAAAACATTTATTTGTGAAATTATGTATGTAATTATGCGACATAGGCGGTCACCAAGGGTGCCATTTGATTAGAAGGTGCAAAAGTCAAAAGAAATACCTCTGTTTGCATTACATGACATGACAGTTAATTACGTTTTAATATTTTAATAATAAAGTTTTAATATTTCACTACTTTTCTTGCGAGATAGACGCTAATTAGCTAGTTAGCAGCCAGATATCCTGTGCTACTGAAATGTCTTTAATATAAATGAACTGACAAAATTTTTTTATGTTGGTCTGGGTGGGGGGTGGCGGGCGGTGGGTGGGGGAATCTCATCTAGGGTATCTAGGCTACCAGAACACCAATGGCTGACCCTGAGTATCACTTCATACTCCATGAGATTACATTATGTGTCGATTTGCAGATTCTGGTCCAGGAGTGTTTGGGATTTATTTTGCACTTGCATTTCCTCCTAAAGTGTAAAATAGGGGTGATTCTAAGATTTGACCCTTAGGGATAGGGGACGTCATCCTTCCAATAATTAAATTTGCTGAGAGGAGGGGGTAGCCCCAGGAGAAAATTTGCCAACTCAGGGATATCACTAAATGGTATTAGAAAAACTGTTTTTTAGGGGGGCTGAGACAAAAATACCCGCCCAGAACCTCTCTAATTAGGGTCTAGAATCACCTATGGTGTGAAGTATTCAACCGGAAAGTTGTCTATGATAAATTAGCTAGCACCATGTAACTCCCAGCTACCAAGAGATTTTCTAAATAGGATTTTGCCCAGAGAAAAATAAATAGCCTTGATTACTGGAATCAGGCCACTAATTTAATTTATTTAATTTATTGTCCCTCATTTATATCCTTCTGAATCATTTCTGCTCCAAATCAGTGGATCGTTAACAAGACCTTAGGTTTGGTTGACAGGCACCAGATCACCCCTGAACCCCCCCGCCCCCCTAAACACACGATACTCCCACAATATTGTTAAGGACATGTATCTACTGTCCATACCCAAATCTGCACCCTTGATTGTTAACAAGACAATGTGGCTTTTCTTATGGAAAGAAATCTGCAATAGGCTGTAGAGTTCTTTGCCTATGAGAAAGTGAAAGCAAGTGATTTTGAAGAGTGTCTTGCATACATAGAGGAGAGTTATGCCAAAGAATAATTCTGTCACGTTTATGTTCTGACGGTGGCGGGGGCTTTCCTCTCCCAGTGATATGAGCAGTGGGCACCTCAACATGCTTTGAAGATTAAAGATATGCCCTTGTGCCCCACCTATAAATAACAACAAATGAGTGTTTATGAAGACTCAGTTCAATTCAATTCAATTTGATTCAATTTGACTCAATTCGATTAGATTCAATTCAATTCAAATAATTTTATTTTTCTGTTTCCTTTTTTTCCATTAGATTCTCCTTTCTTATAAGAGCACCTGAATGTCTGACAGAGCATCCACCAATGTTTGCTGCATCTCTGATTTTTCCTGGGCAGTGTGCCGCACAGTGGGGGTAGGGGTCTGTTTCAATCTCTGCAAGGTCAAATTCCATGGCCGGAAGAGTAGCCATATCATCGCAGGGTCCTTGAGTAAGGCTCTTAACCAGAAATTGCTTCAGGGGACAATGGCTGACCCTGCTCTGTGATCCTCACTTGTACCTCACTTTAGACAAAAGCATATTAAATAAATATATGTTTAAATAAATTTATGTACACAACAAAGCAAAACTGTACAGAGAGCATCATTCAATTAGGGATGAATTTTGCTTTGAAAAAAATCAGCTGCCCACTGATTCTGTTTGTAATTCCTTTAGATTCTGCTCTCCTTCCAAAAGTTTCTCAAAGGACACTACATAATACTATTCAAGAAACACAGAACATCCCGGAATCTGTAGCCATCCCTCAATTTCCCAGACGTTGATATTCATGACCGTGTAGAAAATTAGATATCTGCCAGGCTCTCCAGACGAAAACCACTGGTCATTAAAAGAACATGAATGCTCATTTTCAGTTTTCCAGCTACTGAAATGATCCTCAGAAGCTCTGAAATATTCTATAGACAGAATAATAGAAGCCACATTATCTATCTATTCATGACCCCTATAGATTTATTTAATGCAGGGTCATAGGGAGTCTAGGAAAGAGAGGGGGCATCCTGAAAGGGAAATCAAGCCATCATCACACACTAAGAACAATTTGAGAGGAATGGATCCACATACAGTACCAGCCAAAAGTTTGAACAAACCTACCCACAGAAAGGATTATTGCACTATTTTCTACATTTTAGAATAATTATAAAGACACCAAAACTATAAAAGAACATATGGAATTGTGCAGTGACCAAAACAGTATTAAACAAAAAATATATATTTGTTAGTGGGGGGAGTGGAGCAGCTTTGTGGGTTGGGACACAGAAGGTTGGCGGTTCAAATCCCATGCTCAAGCATAGTAATGTCACCACTGGGTCCTTGAGCAAGACTTTTAACACCAATTGCTTCAGGGACTAGATGACCCTACTTTCTCCTCTGTGTCAGTTTCATGAGGTGGCCTCCTGTGATGCTTACCCAGCTGTACTGAAGGAGGTCCCACATACAGTATATGATGAACACTCATTGGCCACTTTTCCTTCACTCTCTTGGTCAAACTCCTCCCAAACCAAATCTACCATGTTTAGGTCAGGTAGAAAGGTCATGTAACACTATCACTCTCCTTTGTAGATAGCTTGGCATGTCCAAACTTTTGACTGGTACTGTAATTGTAGGTCCACTGCAGGAAAGAGGAGTACCCAGAGGAAAGCAACATGGATTCAGACAGAACATCATCCATCAAATCCATCATGCAAGAAGGAGACATGAGGCCACAACAGCACCTCCTGCACCCCCTGGAGAGCACACATAAATTGTAACCCTTCTCTCTATTGTAACTCACTTTGGATAAAAGCATCAGATAAATTAAGTAAAAGTAAACATGCGGCCATGCTACAATTTCCGTACACAGCATAATTTGCAATTATAACCCAATATTTGTATTCTACTGAAAGAAACCAATACATCTTAATCCTGCCTCATTGCGCACTGAAGTGGAGGATGTCTTTTTTTTCATCTATTGTCACACTGCCTTAGAATTCTGATTTACCAGAATAAAAAGAGCACATGTGAGAATGGAGACATAATGGTTAGATAATTATACTCGTTGTTAGACACATTATTTTGCTTCAAAGAAAAGGAGGAAAGTCTGCTAGTCACGTTTTTATAATTGGTGTATGTGTTTTCTAGGTTTTTGCTCATTTAGTAAAAAAAATGTAAGTCTTTTCTTTATACATAAAAAGAGTTCAACTGAGCTGCATTTGGTGGACATGAGATATTCGAGATCACTTGTGTTATTGCTCGCTGTAACCATCTGTTGTGATTGACACATATAAAGTCAATGAATAGTACTGACGTTCATAGCATTACAGCTTCTTTTCATAAAGCAGTCACTACAACAGAGGAAGAACTGTCCATGGTACTTGGTTCTGGACTTGGTCCTTAGTTCAAAATGAGCTGAACGAAATCACTTGCTGCTTAAAAAAAACCACAGAACATTCAGAGCCTATTGCTGCTCAGTTCAATGCTACTCCTTAAAACAGGACAAGCCAGCACAAATGTGGGGGCCAGTAACTGTTATGTACGCAGTCTCGGATTATTCTATACTTGTTACTATGACTCACCACTGTCTCAGTCTCTGCCATAAGGAGCCATTGCCATCTGCGATTAAGCATTTCAGGTTAAGGGACATCCCTACTACAGAAAGCAGCAGAGAGCTTAAAAAACACAAATATCAAAAATATCAAAAACTGGTATTGCTAAACTATTTCAGCATTAACAATAATAATAATAATTATTATTATTATTATTAATAATAATAATAATAATAATAATAATAATATTTCATCAACTTATTCGGCAATGCCTCATAAAACAGAGGATGACCTCAAGTGACCTTCAGTAGGAATGAGAAACATTAAGTGGTGTGAAGTGCACTGCTAGGACAGTTCATAACAGGCTCACAGAAGCAGGACTGAAGACCCATAAAGCAAGGAAGAAGCCCTTCATGAATGAGAAGCAGGGAAGAGCCAGGGTGCAGTTTGCAAAAAAAAAAAATCTATATTTTACTCGGGCGCATGCCCATAAATTCAAAAATGAGTGAAACTGAAAATTTTGCTTCCCTCCCCCCACCCCCCAGACCTGTATCGACTCGATGGGAAGACTCAGGGCAGCCCTGCAGCCTGGCCTCTTCCCATGACAGGGAAAATTTGGTCAGAGATTTTTTTTTTCCATTGTGCTGTAAGTAAGATGCTCTGTACTGATTGGAGTGATCCTCAGTCTTGACATGTGAAATTGCCTTCCTTTCTATCAGCTTCTTATTACACCGGAGGTGCCAAAAGAATTGCATCTGACTGAATTATCACATCCTAATATATTTCTGTATGTCATTTTCCCTAACCTAACCCTTGCACTTTGCATACATTTGCACATATACTCTTATGCAAAAAAATTTTTTTAGACATCTTTGCACATTTGTAATGTACTGTTCTTTGGCATATATTGTACTGTGAAGTGTTTCTCCTTTATATCTTGTAATATTGTCCTGTACTTCGGGTTTGGCACTGAAACACAAGCAATTCTAGTGGGTTTGTTCATACTGGCAATAGAGTGTTCTGAGTTCTAAGGTGTGTATAATTGAATGTGTCCCCAGAGGTGACACATTCAGCTACCCTCTCAGAACGTCAAGTTCAACTACCACATGGTAAATTATAGGCTGCATTATAACAATTATGAGATAATATCTTTTTATATTCACTTTGGTTCTATATTTACTATATACATTGCAAGCACAGTGAAGGGCACATGAGAGTCAATATGTGCAGTTGGTCATAACTCCTCTTCGAACATACAACTCCTTTTTTAATTGTGTGAAATAATGGAACGTCCTTTGGGTATATTGAATGGCATTAAATAAAATTGTATGACTGATGGATGATCTGTTTGTTATGTGACTGCAGATCCACTATTTTTAACTATATGAGAAAAAAGGGAAGATGAACCATGCTTCCTGCCAAAATAAGATCTAAGTTACCTTCACAAAGTCCTCAAGTTCAGATGAATTGACACAGGAGTGGCTGGTGAGGAATTCAAGCTTCTCAGCCAAGATGGTGATCTTCTGGGATCTCTCATGGGCCTGTTCCAGAGCCTTGAACACCATGGCCCCAAATATCAAGTAGAGCAACACCAGCAGAAATATGGCAGAAACAGTTTTCCACTTCATTACCTTGGAAATGGTATCACAGTCATCCCCCAAGTTTAAGACAATGGGTTTAGCAGAGAAGGAAAGGCGAGGCTTGGAGTTCTGTGCTGCAGATTTGGGATCCAAAAGATCAGGGGCAGCCACTGGGAAGAATGAAAACCCCACTCTGAGCAACACCACCAATGAAGCTGTTCATGATTCTATTTACAGTACCAGTCAAAAGTTTGGACCCAGTGGTGACATTACTATGCTTGACCACGGGATTTGAACTGGCAACCTTCTGTGTACCAACCCACAAAGCAGCTCCACTCCCCCCACCAATAAATATTTGTTTTGTTTAATACTTTTTTGGTCACTGCACAGTTCCATATATGTTCTTTTATAGTTTTGGTGTCTATAATTATTCTAAAATGTAGAAAATTGTGCAATAATCCTTTCTGTGGGTACGTGTGTCCAAACTTTTGACTAGTACTGTAGCCGTCAGAGTTTAGTCATTTTTTGAGTGAGGTTTTTAAAAGCATATACATTCCTAGTATTTTTTATTTTGTTTTGCTCAATAAACTTTACATTAAGTGATATTAAAGTAAATTAAGTGAAACAATGAAATTCTTAATTGCATCTTCTTTTTGCACATATTCCACTTCCAGACAATTCAATTCATGTTTTGAATTCCATTCCATATCATTTTTCAAGGGCCATTTATCCAATGTACAATTGTGGAGATCCTGAAACCTAATAACTCAACGATGGGGCACGTAGCAGGGAGAAACCGGATGTTTTTTTAGGTTTTATGTAACCTTAAAATATATAAATTCCGTATTAATAATATTACACATTCAGAGGTGAATACGTGGCAATGATTGGTCTGTCAAAAACAATAAACAGTTGTCATATTCAATGAATGGATATATTCCCCTCTGTAGGCTATACAGTATCTCGTTTACTAAAACATCTTTTGTCATGAAAAAGGACCTCAAGTACCAATTGCGAGTTACAGCAGCATCGTACGTGTTTCATTGTTAGCGTTCAGCGATCGCCTCATATGCTTCATTAAGTTTTAAATTTGCATGAAACTTGCGAATTTGCTCTATCTATTTGTTTTTCTATAAGTAGCGCGCACGGAAACAGACAGTTCTGGAGTGACCGCACAACACTGAACGTGTTCAAAGGCGATGAATTTTAAGTAGCTGTACGAAAAAATTATGTGATTGAATGTTTAAGGTGAAATTAGTCATTCTCTAAATGAATCAGTTCTCTAGCGCAGTCGGCCTCGAGGGATAAAACGATGTTTACGCTGCAAATGGTGAAAGAGGAGATAACTTTAAGTGCGACGATCTACTGAGTACCTCAAAGACGCTAAATGTCTCGTGCAAACCATTAATGTACAGCGATCACAAAAACAATTAAAATGCAACATTTTAAAACGTTTTGTTCGATAGCCGCGGTATCCTACCTGTTAAACGTCTTCTCTTCAAATGAAGTTACTTGATTACTTTGTTCCGTTTTATCTAAACCGGATTATTTTAAACCTCTACAAATAGCATCCAGCGTGATGTAAACATGCCAGGTTTTAACATATAATGACAACAGTCAAATTATCATTTGATTTCTAAATGATGATGTGGCACTTACTTTTCTACCAAGAACCTCTTCCTTGCTGTCCTTCATCGGCAGTTATGTCCCGGAGAATATAACTTATTTTGATTTAATTTGGAAACCGATGCGTTGGTAGGGAGGTTTCTACGAAGCCGCGATCGCTGTAGCATCTGCCACCTCTTGCCTCCACGGTCCGGTTTTTAGTCGCCAATTGAAATACTGTACTTCACAGAACATACCGTTCCAGTCCGAGGCTAAGCAAACACAAAAGATGGGGAAAGGAGGGGTTTTAGGGGCAAGATTTCTTCCTGGAAACCGCCCCCCACCCAGATACAATAATCCGGCAAGCATCGATACACTTACTAGGTTCAAAATGTCATCCGGTGAACAGGTTCATGTCTTACGAACTGTGTGTTCCCTATACATACATTTCCAATGGCGCCTATAATGTCCTGTAGAGTTCACCGGTGCAATAAACACGTTTCACGGTGCAGATATAGCATGTTCCCTTTCACATTTCGTTTTATAAAAATATTTTTACGTTTTGTTTAACAGTTTAATAACTTAAATGAACATTCTGGTTAAATGGTATAAATGCATGTGTCATTTAACCAGAATAGACCCTACATATAAAATACTCTGTTCTCTTCACCGATGATTAGAAGATGGATGGATATATACATTCCAACTATTTCAGATATTTTCAGTTTAAAATTGAACATAATTTAGCTTTGAAGTTGAACAAAAGAAAAATAGTTCATGTAAAAATCATTGCTTGTTTATTTTGCATTGTTCTGTGATTAGATTTGCAAACCTAAGTGTAAGGTAGAGGGACAAAAACCATACAACCTTTCTGAATAATGCAAGCAATAAAATGGCAGTTACATGAATATTTACCCACTCATCCATTTTCCACAATCACTTTCCCAGTACAGAGCTGTGGTGAGGCTGCAACCTGTCTCAGGTTGCCAGTTACACGCGACACAGTTTATGAATGTGCAAAATATGCTAATGTCACAAGCTCACTTTCTGAACATGCTGTACGGTAACATTAAATAAAAAGAACCTTTATTTCTCCACAAACACCTAACTTGATTTAGAGGAATCTTATCAGAACTGGTATAATTTGCACAAAGTGTGGACAGAATACGATGGTTACAGTAGACTGGATTTTTTTATTCTAGCTTTCACCGTGCAGGCAGACACCATCTCTGCATGACAGTGACTGATGAATTCCCAGCTTGCTGAATGTCCTGTCCTCCTGGATGAAAGTAATGTAAAGGAGACAATCAGTTTTTCTTTTGTGTGGGAGGTGGTATTCTCAGCCTTCCAGTGCACGAGGGCACCAAATACAGGACATTCAATTCAGTTCCATTCATTTTTTATAGAAAAATGATAAAGAGAAGGAAAATGGGGGTGGCACAGTAATTAGCACTGTTGCCTCACATCTCTGGGACGGTGGTTCAAGTCTCTACCGTGACTCTACATGTGTGGGGTTTGCACAATCTCCCCATGTCATCATGGGGTGTTCTCCCGTTTCCCCCTGCAGTCCAATAGGCAAATTGCCAAATTTACGTAGGTGTGAATGGTGTATGTGTGGCAGATATATTGAATGCAATTTGTGTGTAGAAGTTGCCAGTTGTAGACAAAAAATAATTGAACTTGAATGATTAGCTTTGTGTAAGTGTTTATTCTTTTTAAGTTCCCCACAAAGAAACATGTTTGCTTTGTTCAACTTAATTGACACATCATTTGTCTATGATAGACACATCTTCATTTGGAAGTTTTTCTGTGTACCTGAGCTGTGTCTATAACCTCATCACATTCATTTTTGGCAAGTAACATACACACTGTATGACGAAAAGTATTTGGACATGAATTGTGTGGTCATTACACCTACAGGAATTTTGATGACATACCATTCTAAATCCATGGAGTTGGTTCCCACTTTGCAGCTATAACAGCTGCCACTCTTCTGGGAAGGCTTTCCACAAGATTTTGGAGTGTGTCTGTGGGAATATTTACCCATTCATTCAGAAGAGGAGGTCAGGCACTGATGTTGGATGTGAAGGCCTGGCTTGCAATCTCCATTTTAGTTCATCCCAAGGTGTTCGTCCAACATCAGTGTCTACCCTCACAAATGCTCTTCTGGATGAATGTGGAAAAATTCCCACACACACTCCAAAATCTTGTGAAAAGATCGGCAGAGTGATGCCACCATTGACCCCAATTGCCACAGGGACTGGCTGACCATACTTTCTTTTGTACGCCAGATTCATGAGGTGGCCTCCTGGGGATGCTTTCCCAGCTGTTCTAAAGGACCACATATACACTGAGCTATACGCTCATTGGTTACTTTTCCTTCTAGTTAAACTCCTCCAAAACCATATTTATTGTGTTTAGGCCAGGTGGCCAGGTCAAGTGATGAGACACTCTATCATGCTCCTTTGGAGATGGCTTGGTGTGTCCACACACACGCATATATGTCTATGTGTGTGTTTATGTTTATATATATACTGTATATGTATACACTCACCTAAAGGATTATTAGGAACACCATACTAATATGTTGTTTGACCCCCTTTCGCCTTCAGAACTGCCTTAATTGTACGTGGCATTGATTCAACAAGGTGCTGAAAGCATTCTTTAGAAATGTTGGCCCATATTGATAGGATAGCATCTTGCAGTTGATGGAGA